GTCGAAAAAAGAGGCTTACATGAAAGGTTGATACATGGGTTGTCACTTTTTGTTCCAAGAGATCCAAAGAGGTATTCTAAGCATAGAGATTCAATTGACATTTAGGAAAGGATCGTATAAAATGCTTTACTCCCCGCCCTGAAGGGATGTATGGGTACAGGCATATTCGAAAAAAAAAAGAAATGCATGATCAGGATGAATAATGTGATCTTCTGTAGTTTGAGATGCACTGAAGGATTACTTCTTTGTCATCTAATGTCGAGATGTGTTGTACGACATGAAGTAGAGTAGTTTTTTCAGCCTTAGACACATACTTTACTACTATAAGTTTGCCTCGTTTACAAATTACAAGACATGTATTTACCGGACATATTTTCGTTTTGGTCTAATTGGTGAATATTGGCATATTGGGTTCTAGTATGTGATCAGGCGGTCATTGTTTTTTCTGTTTTTGCTTAGTCATGAGTCATCTCTTCGATCTTATCTGTCTCTTTTTTTCGGGTTCTCGGATCATTAAGAAGTTTAGCCTAACCATCTCCTCTTCGTCGTATTATCATTTAAGTTGGAATTGGATTTAACATAGTTTATTCCATGGTTATATAGCTTTGCTTTTCCAGCTCTATGTGCCACATTTAAATGTTGACAAGACGATGAAGACGTTACAATATGTGATTGTCAACATCTTTTGTAGAGGTGGGTAACATAGATTTTGAGTGATTTTTTTGGCGCATGGAATACATTGTAGATTGTTTGAGATTTTACCAACTTTTGGATATTAACAAACTGCAAGGAAACCGCATCGTGTAACTTAGCAAAAGAGTTTTTTTTTTTTTTTTGATAAGTTGGTAAACCAAAGTAGCTGACCTAGTAAGACTTGAACCAAATTTTTTGAGCATCAAAGCTTCTTTGAGATGAAAATGCACCAAAGTGGTGACCATACGCCGCATGTAATGTGCTATATAGTCGCGGAGATCTGTAGTTCCATCATAAAATTGTACGGTTGGGAAGTGAATTTAGAAAATATTTTAACTAAGTTGATTTTTTCTTTTAATAAAGAGTCGATGGAAAAATCATATAGTGCCATTTTTGCCATCGGAGGAAAGAGAAGAACTCAAGGAATACTTCTTAATTATGGTGGCCTTCATGCTAATGATTTTTTTCTTTTAAAAAAATGTGCTCTTTATGGCTGATGGATTTTGAATGGTGTTAGGGGTCCTTTTACTCCACCATTATTTTCTTTAAGATAGGTCGTGTTAGCTTCTCACGATCTTTGGTGAGATTTTTAAGTGAAAATACGGGTTAACACATCATATTAACCTCTCTTAGATGTGGTGTGGCTCAAGTCTACAAAGGTGTCGACTATGCTGCACCTAAGCTAGGATCCCTCATTTGTTGATGTATTTGTACGCAGAGATAAACTTTACAGTTAATCAAGGAGATATATTCTCGAATTCTTAGAGAAATATGATCTCTTTGTCATAAGGACAACAATGGTATTTAAAGAGAATACCTACTTTAAGATAACATACTTGACAGAGTAGAGATTTGTTGAATATTGTCAGTATGCAGCATTCAAGTGTTTTACATCAAATCCTTTGTTTTATATGATTTTAGGCCAACAAATTAATCCCAAGAAACATGAGGGCTGAAGCGAAGGCGAAGACGTGCATAGTCTTACTCGCTATAAAAGAGTCCTTGTTTATGCACAGTTCATGTAGTCATTATTGTATTTTTTTGCCTTTACGAGGGATAAGAGAGTGTTTTCTCGATGTTCTCTCTTTATATCATGTGTAAATGGTCACACGTTAGTTTGAAATTCGCAAGTAATTACACATAGATATTTATATCGATATTAGAGAGTTCTGTTTAATCCAAGATATCCTAATTCTTTTAAGAGTATGAAGACTTACCCTTGAACATAGCAGGGCTAGCTAGCCTGGCATGGATCATGATAACAATGATAACGGATCGTGTTGTCATGTTGTGAGTACCACTCAACCCGTAGCACCACTAATGTAAGGTAGCGTGACCCCGTCACAAATAACCTAGAGTGTATGTGGCAATATATGTTTAATTATTTAGGCTATTGTAGGATAAGATCCAAGTACAAATACTAAGAGATTTACCTAAAATAAAAGTCGGTATTTAACTTCAACACATACCATCCTCATACAGTTTGGAAATTTC